ATTTATTTTGGTTATTTCTGGACCTTTATGCCATCATGTGAAAGGTCTAAAGAAAATTTTCATATATAAGTACAAAAATTGAAGTATTATGTGAGAAGTAAGTGTAATCTATGGAATAGGTATCTTCTATGAATAAGCATGGTTAAATATATAGAAGCCATGTATCCAATATTCTGTCACAAAAAGTTAATACCACCCCCACCCCACTCCCACAACAGAGCTCCTGGATTCAAACAAATATCGATGGAAGCATTTGTTTTTTCTTTACATAAAAAAAAAAAGTACTCTTGTATCAGGAGAAACAAAACTGATGTCCTGAGAGGTTCACACAGATAGTCTATAATTACAAAATAGAATGTAACATAAACTTTCAATGATATGATTTTATCTGTTCAACTAAACATTAAGAGGAGAAAAATTGTCCTATGTCACTAGTAAGCCCAACTGAACTTCTATACCACAATATCTTCTTAAAATAATAAGGTCCATTCAGCTTTAAAAAAATATTTTTCCAGCTTTTTAATTAATTAATTAAATAATTTCTCTTTATTGATTAAGGTATTACATACATGTCCTTAACCCCCTCAGATCCCCTCCTTCCCGCTTGTGCCCTCACTCCCCCAGTGTCTGTGTCCATTGGTTATGCTCACTAGAATATGCATACATACTAGTAAAAGTCCTTTGGTTAAAAAAATATTTCACTGTTTGCATTTTTTAGTTACTGAATTCAGAGTCTGTGGGTACAACATTCATATATTCCTCTTTGGTCAGTTATTTAGCCTCTTTTTTCCCCAATTGTGATCTGTGTTGAAAGCATAAAATTCACTCTCACTGATTTCCACTGTCAGACCTAAGAGCCACCCAGCTCTGACTTGAATAGAACCAAGGATGTAAAAGTGAAAATGGTCTGAGAGAATGACAGCCGCATAAAGGGCAGGTGAAGGTTCAGTGACCTCTGGGCACACTGGTCCATTCTGGTGAATCACTGCTTTGGGGAGGCATAGACCCTGTGGCTCGTAAAACCTGATAACATTAAGAAGAAAGGAAAGAATTCACACTTAGAATTCAAGGTGACTGTTAGAAATACAACTTTAAAAATTAAAGAGGAAATAAAAATACCATATTTAAAAATGAATTACTAATGTGTTTTTTTCTTTAAAAAATATTGGGAAAATCTGTATCATGGAGATGTACATTACTTATTCAATGTACACCATTGAGAGATAAATAGAACTGTTCAAATAAAAAAATGCCAAAGGTAATTCAACTACCGCATTGTAAGTGTGGCATAACTGATTCGTCATGACATACAATTTTCTAAAAGCTATTCTGTTAGAAGGCAATAAATGAGTGCATAAATGATTTACACTCTTCTGAACTATAGTTATTATTCAGTATTTTATTTTTAAAAATATATACTAGTATACCCAATACTATTATGTTTATTCTCTAGAGTATAATAAAAACATAATTGAATTTGATGAAAAATAGACTTGATTCTAAATGTAGCATACAGTACATACAGCTACTCCCTTATTTTATGCACTGTAAAGATCAATGGTCACTTGAGGTAGCTTTGCTCAAGGTTTGTTTTAATATATGGACAATAAAATATTTTTAATTTAAAAGTTATATGCTTATATTCCTTGTCATATTTTCTTTTTAATACCAACATCTGAGTTTTGACCTCCATAACAATTTATGAATGCAAATACAGTATTTTAATCACTGTTTTACTTCTAAATATGATTTCTTATTGACTACGAGGAAAATTTACTACAAATGGTTATCAAATAAAATTGAAGCAATCTACAAAAAAAGCATCAGAGTTCAGTGGCTGGATTTGTTTTGAGGGAACCTAAATGCTATTATGAATGAAGGTTATCTATTAAAAATATTAAAAATTTGTTTTAATATAACCACCTCTGGAATTTATAGAAGTGACTTATTAATATATTTTCACTTATAATTTCTTTTGAGTTAAAAACTCTGTTATGTAATGTATAAATATATAAAGTATCTAAGTATATAATTAACTAAAGTTCAACGTAACTATTTTATATTTATATATAATATATAAATTATAACATATATTATAGGATGGTTAAGTCATATACATGCTAATTTAAAAATTATATTCATAACCCTGGCTGGCATTTCTCAGTGGTAGGAGTGCTAGCCCAGGCTCCAAAAAGCTGCAGGTTTGATTCCTGGCCAAGGGCACGTACCCAGGTTGCAGGTTTGATCCCGGGCCTGATTGAGGCAAGTGTAGAAGTCAATCAATGGATTTGTCTCTCTCTCTCTCTCCCCCATTCCCTTTTCCCTTATACTCTCTAAAAATATCAATGAAAAAACATCTTTGGGTGAGGATTAACAAGAATAAAACATTATATTCATCAAATGTGACATAGAATATAAAGATATAATTTTTAAATTAAAAACATACATATAGAGTAAAGACAAATACAAGTTAAAAATAAGAGATTTTCTTTCTATCTTACTTAATAAAAAGAAACATGCAAATTAACCATCACTCCACCATGCCCATAGCCAATCAGAGTGAGTATGCAAATTATCTCAACAAAGATGGAGGTTAATTTGCATATGCAGGTGAGGAGCAGTGTGAACCTTGCTATGAGTGAAGGAGGGTGGTGGAGAGAGCTACTGGAGTGGTGCTCTGAGAGAAGTGACGACCTGCTGGCTCCTGGAGAGCCAGGAGTTGGGATGTGCAGCTCCTAGCAGGAGTGGGGTCTTACTGGCTTCCGGGCGGCTGGGAGTGAAGCCAGAGGAAGAAAGGCCTATTCTTGCATGAATATCATGCAAAGGGCCTCTAGTTTTAAATAAGAACAAAGATTTCCCTCCATTCCTGTTTTAAAGGCATTTACCTGAGAAACTTATAAGCACTTTTCCATCTCTTTGACATGTATCCCTTGGAAGACTAGAGAGACCTTTTGTCAACTTTTCAAGCCAGGACTATCTCAAAAACCTAATTTCAGTGGGTAGGCTATCTTTTGATTTGCTATCTAGGCCCATTACTTAATGATCTTCAGCCTCAATGGCAGCTGTTCATCAGCCATTGCCTCTTTCTCTATGCCTCTTTCACCAGCAGCCATGCCTTTGTTTATCTCTGGGCCTCCATAGGATTGTTCATCAGTCCCATCTCTTTGATCAGGCTCAGAGAAAGGCCTGGAGATACTGACTGGCATAGACTCTGACCAATCAGAACCAAATCTGGCTGAAGTGCCAGGAACCAATGACTGCCTAGGAGGAGGAGCTTTTGACGCTGACTGGCATAGAAACCGACTAATCAGAACCTAATCTGGGTGAACTACAAAGGGAGAATCTAAGATGGGGGCTGAGGTGGGGTTTTAAGGGCAACAGCTATATAAGAAATCAGTTCAATTTTTTTAATGACCACTTTGGCAGTATAGTGCATATGGCTGGCTATCGGTCCAGATATAGGGATTATGTGTTTTTGTCTGTCAAGAGCATCTCCTCCTGCTGAAAAAGGATTCCTCCCCCATTTAAGCAATCCTAACCTATATAATCTATCTATACTAATACAAGGGTAATATATTAATTAGATCAGGTCAACCAGCCATTTTATGGATGTTCAACTTCCTTCCAGACAAAGCCATGGCGGTGGATGTCAAGGCAGAGGCAGTTAAGGGTGATCAGGCTGGCAGGGAAGGGCAATTGGGGGTAAGATCAGGCTGGCAATGGAGGGCACTTAGGGGTGATCAAGCAGGCATAGGCAGTTGAGGGCAAGATCAGGCCGGCAGTTAGGGGTAAGCAGGCAGGCAGGCAGAGGCAGTTAGGGGTGATCTGGCAGGCAGGCAGGCAGGTGAGCGGTTAAAAGACAGCGGTCCCAAATTGCAAGAGGGATGTCTTACTACCAGTTTAGGCCTGATCTGAAATTCCCCAAGGGATCCCCGATTGGAGAGGGTGCAGGCTGGGCTGAGGGAACCCCTTTCGCCCACCCCCATGCATGAATTTTGTGCACCGGGCTACTAGTATATTAATAAAAATCCAGGCCAACAATATTGGCAAAATCTAAGTAATCATTAATAGCAATTCAATAAACCTTAATTTATCTATTTGAAAGTGCTATGGTCCTAACTGGCTAGTTAATAGGAAGAGAGCAAAGGAGAGGCCAGACAAGCATGGTAATCTGGGCAACTTCACCAGAAAGTCATAGTTTTATGCTCCACAGGTAATCACTGGGGAAAGGAGGGGAGATGGACGTATGTGCAGTAATGAGGTTACATAGGAAAGGTTACCTCAGACTAGTCTGGGAGAAGATCATTGGTTGAGAGGATGGAGCTATTGCAAGTGCACAAAATCCTGGAAGGTTAAAATCCCCAGATAGAAAGTTTCCTTTTCTTCTTGTGCTCCCTCTTGCTCTATGAACCGCACTGGCCCATGAGTTCATGTGCTCGCCTACAGTAGTTATATGACCAGAAGCAGCAACACGGCTCCCAGGAAGCTAGACTGGACTGGACTGGACTGTAACATGGAGCAGAAATTCTGAGCAGTGGTTTTCATTCTGTCTCTGCTGAAGACAAGAATGGACTGTTTCCATTGGAAAGCCAGACAGAGATGGGACTTACAAAGGGAACCCCCTTAATTTTTCATCATCAATAAAGCTTTCCATGAATCCCCATCCTGAGGAGGGACCTTAGAAAATTATTTTCCTTGTGGCATCCCAAGAATTCCATTTCCACTGATAACGAAGTCAATGCCGATATATATAGATTTAGTTATCTATATATCATCAGTTATAATTTATTTATTTAAGTTTTAATTACAGTACTAATCAGATAGTAAAAATCACATTAAATTTTAGGGAGGAAGGTCTCATAATTTATTTTTCCCAGCAAAGTTAATGACAATGAAAACCTAAAATTATCTAACAGTAGAAAACAATAAAACTAGATTAGGTAACATTTGTGTAAATTAAACATGAAACCAACTTGTTTTAATTAATTAGCGATATTTACCTTGCAGCATTTTGTTCTATCTTTTCATCAATATCACTGAAAATCTGCTTAAACTCCAAGTCTCCAGGAAATGAATTTAACAAACAATGTAGGTCAAAGGAATTATGGGAATATTCATCTTCCCAGTCCATTCTGAAGAAAAAGAATAAAAAACATGTTACTTCAAAATAAAGGGGGAAACCTACCTCAAGATGTAATACTAAATCAAAATCAATAATTCCCACTTTTAGGAAAAATGAAATATAGCAATGGAAGAACTAGGGTATTATTAAGCTGGGTAAAATGTTTTGTTAAAGTTCATGAGGTGTGACCTAATTTTCACACTTTTCTCTAGTTTGAAAGCTGAACAAAACAGCACCCCTCAGAGAGAACTTATAAACATCCTGCTGCTTCCCACTGGAACCCAGCACTGCAAAGGAAATCACAAAGCCTCAACAGGCCACTGTGAACAAAGGTGGCTGCAGAAAGAATTTAACACCTTCCTTCCACCCTTACCCACAAGCTAGCCAGGAAATGATAACCTCAGAATTGTTAAAGCCTAATACCCAGGCGCTATTCATATATGAAAAAGGCAATAAATTCTCTTCTCTGATAACTAAAATTTAAATTTGGTACTTTTTATAGATATAAATTTTCCCCACTATTTGCTACTTTTTATATAATAGATATGCATTTTCCCCACTATTCACCCATTCATTCCATATATATTTATTGAATGTTTGTTAAGAAAGAAGCCTTGCAGTTGAAGCTTGGGATATAGCTGCAACAAGTCCAAGTCCCTTTCTTTATGGAGTTTTATTTGAGTGGGGAAGGTACATTTTAGAAACACATAAACAGATATATTTTATAAAAGATCACTTGGTGTGTACATGTAGGGTCAGGGCAATGGGACAGATTAAGAAGGGTGAGTTGGTACAGTGTATGAACTATTTTATTTGGGGATATATTATTTTTGAACATACAATATTGCTTATAAAATACTAGAGGCCTGGTGCATGAAATTTGTGCATGGCGGGTGTGTGTGTGTGTGTGTGTGTGTCCCTCAGCTTGGCTTGTGCCCTCTTGTAATCTGGGACCCCCTCAGGTTGGGTTCCTAGGCCTGGCTAGCTATCAGGGTCTGTTGGGACTTTCCTTCCCCTGGCTGCTGCCAGGTGGCCCTATCCCCCACCACCTGTCACCTCCCTCTGTGGGCAACAGGTGTGGGGTGTCATTGTTTGGCTGGCCTGGGCCTCCCTATCCAGGGTCTCCGGATGGATTGCTTAACAGAAGCAGGCCCCACTCCCCAGCCTTAGCACTGCTGGCCTGGTAGCCTGGGCCTCCCTTTGCAAGGCAAAGGATCACGGGCTCCAGAATTGATCGCCCAGCAGAGGGAGGCCCTGCCCACCCGGCAGAGGCTCTGTGATCCATCCTCCTGGGCCTCCCTCTTTGGGGTGCTTGTGGAGCCCTTTCCTCCCCATCAATTACCCCACCCGGCCAGTGGTTTTGGCCTCCATCTGCAGGGCAATCGATTGCAGAGCTCCCCCATAGATTGCCTCACCGAGAGTAGCTTGGGACTCCCTCTGCAGGGTGATCATGGGGCGATGGCCAGGCCCCCTGACCAAATAGCATAATGAACTTCCTCCTCTTTAATTATTCAATTATTAATAAATTTAGCTATTTTGCTAAACTATAATGAAATAGCTGAAGATTTATCTTAAGTCCTGACTGAATCTTCAAAGAATTAGTTTTAGGATAAAGATTTTATTTTCCGTTAGAGATACTATTTTAAAAGGAAAACACCCAATTATACTGTTTTAGTGTAAAAGTCCATGGCAACACAGACTTGTCATTTGTAAATTCAATTAGTTCCAAATATAAAATAAGAACTATAGTGGTTTAGAAAGAGTCCCCCAAGATGTGCTTCTATGCATGTGAATTATTTTGAGCTAAAGGCAACCAAGACCCTGCCACCTGAAGAGAAACTTCTGCCCTCCCCCACTCCTTCACTACCTGGAAGAATATGAATAAGGGGCCTTGCCCATAAGAAGAAGAGATTATCAGAGACAATCTGGTTTGACCTCGCTATATGGCAGGACAAGCTAGTAGTTAGTGAACATCTGCTTTTCTAATCATCCTGCAATGACCTTCCTCCCCTCCCAAGGTGATCTTAGCTCAGAATATCAAATATACCTCATGTTCCCTTTTTATCTTTGAACTTCTCATGTATGAGTGGTTCCCATGATTACATATGTATTAAATTTGGTTATTTTCTCTTGTTAATCTGCCTCATGTGGTTTTAAATATTAGAACCTTAGGGTAGAAGAAAGTTTCAGCCTCCTCTATAGCACAGATATAACATTTTAAAACAGCAAAATCCTCAAACACTTGGATTTTTCTCATTCAAAGCATTTTGCAGTAAATACTGTCATTTATCATTTAAAAATAATTATTTACCTATAATGTGTCATAATAAAGATTAACTTGAAATCAGGCTAAAACAAAATAAAAAATAAAAGGTAAATGTTAGGAAACTCCATGTGCTAGTACATCAGGAGATATACATCTTTAGGACACCAAACTCTTTTTTTTTTTTTTTTAAGTCTTAACATTTTCATATAATCAATGAATATGATATCTTCATATCTCCCTAGCAGCTCAACAAGTTACACCTATTATCAGAATAGTCATTTTTAAATCCAATGGCTAATATTATAGAGGCCTGGTGCAAGTATTCATGCACTGGTGAGGTCTCTTGGCCTGGCTGTGGACATTTTCCAAGGGGTCTTGGATTTCGAGAAGGCACAGGCCAGGCGAGGAACACCACGGGTGCATGATTGGGCCTGGTGAGGTACCGCAGGAGGGCTCCAGGGCATGTTCGGATTGGCTGAACCCCAGCAGCAAGCTAATCTACCAATTGGAGAGTTATTCAAAATTGTTGCAAAAAATAAAATTTAATTTTTGTAATGAAAAAACTTGATTGACTGAGAGTTCTTGTAAAAAATTCAAACTTAGTAAATATTTTGTTTATAGTAAACCTCTTTGTTATAAAACAAGTTATAGTATCAATACTCTGTTCAAAGTTGTACCAATTGGTCAATACTATAATGCCTCATTAATTAATATAACACATATTCAAAAGTAAGAAAATATGTAAAGAGTTCAACTGAACTATAATAGCAAAATAGAAATATGATTTTGATATTGTTATAATAATCTGGTTATTTAAAGGAAAGGAGTAAAGGAAAGACTAGGTAATATAGGTATGCCATTTATTCAGCTTTGCTAATTTAACACTCTCCAAAACTGTTCCCCACAGATGGGGTTAGAGACTAGACAACAGATAATAAAACTCAGTGAGGGCTGAATGACATGGAAAGGTGCTGTCTGTCAATCACACCTGGGAACAGGAAATTGGCCAGAATAGGTGCGGCCACTGCCATGAAGCAAAATCAGAATGTTTACAATTCTGAACAAAGGAAGTTCCCTCCCTTGGCTCTTGGTTTTTATGGAACTCTCTTGACTTTTGCTTCTCCTGTTTGCCTGAGCTCCTGGGACTCCTGCTGCAGGGGCACTCCATGTGGTCCATGGCCATATGGGACCCACACAATGGACTGATAGACTTTAATTAGCCTCAATGTTGAACTGGACTCTGCTGCAACAAGAAACAAAAGCTCTGGACACTGGTCCTCCTTTTGGCTCTGTTGGACCTCTAGCTGTCCCTTTTTCAGGACTGGATTAAGGGGAATGGGACTTTACAATCCAAGGAATATAACTCCATTTAAAGTTTTCTACTACATCTCATTCTCCTGTGGGGGCTTCTGAAAATGCTGAAAATTTCAGTAGTACCCAAGAATCCCACACCCACTCATGTCTAGGAAATCTGGCCCACTGATTTCTCTGGTTACAATTTGTTGTATATCTACGATGTTAAGGTACTTTATATACATCAACTCCTTTAATTCTCATAATAACACTTCAAAATAGTTATCATCCTCATTTATGGAAGAGGAATCCTGGGCCCAAAAAGATTAACTAACATGTCCATGTGTCATAGCTAGGGGTAGCATGCACTGAACCCAGATCTATTTGGTTCTATTTAAAGGTGCTCTTATCTCCAGAAATGAATCACTTACTCATACAAAACATAATTTTATAAAAATTATATTAACAAAAATGTAAAATGTTTATTCCCGGATATTTAGACTGTGGCTGATTTTTACTGACTTTTTTTATACTTAGCCTTTTCCTGTTTGTTTATTTTTGCAATAAGTACTTATCATTTCATATATAACTAGAGGCTCAGTACATGAGTAGTGTCCCTAGGCATTGCCAGTGATCAGGGCCAATAGGGGCCTTCTGGCTGTCCCCTGGTGATCAGTGCACATCAGAGTGAGCTATCAAACTCCTGGTCTCCTGGTCAAACTTCCAAGGAGACACTATGCATACTAGCCATATATATATATATATATATATATATATATATATATATATATACACACACACACACACACATATATATAGATTGGTAAAATATTTTAAGAACTACCCCTGCTCTCAGTGGGAATTATAATTTTTTATTTTACATTTCCTATCTCTCTTCATCTGAGACATCTTCCATTCTAAACTTCTCTCTTGGCAATTTGTGTTTATCATTTTATTGAAAATCTATTTCAAAACTTACATAATTACTAAATATTTTTTGATTAAACATGACCACTTCACCAATCTTTTTGTATTTTTTATTTGTGCTTCCAAATGCTGTTAAAAGAAAATGTTTCTTATATTACTTTGATAATGTGTGTTTTATGTCCTTCTTTGAAATCAGTACTAGAGTAAACTGAAACATGTTGAGCATTCAGATAACGTTGGGAATCATGATTTTGAAGGACTTTCAATCTACACAGTTGTTTGATTTTTCTCTATCTAATCTCAGTAAAGAAGTTAATCAATAAACACAAAGAATGCATTAAAGCCGTGATATGATAGAGTAGCAAAATGATGATGGTTCAGAGCTTTCATGTGACTGGCATACATCTTGTGATGCTTCCATATCCATATTTATATGGTTCCACTGTGATGAAGGATACGAGAAGCAAAAGTCACCTTTTAGGTAAAGTAGCAAAAAGTATAAGATGCTATGTGGTAGGATTTA